CTGTTCGATTTCGACAAAGTGCAAAAATAGACTGTGAAGGATAGAGACACAACGTACTTTTTACCACCGCCTGTGAGAACATTAACTAAGATGGTAACGACTTCCCGTACTCATTCTGATTCTTTCCAAAAGCTTGATCTTACACAGTACCTACTTTTGAACGCTAAGATGGGAGGTCGCTGACTTTTAGGCAAAAATTAACCAAACTCACCTACATAGTCACTCTAACTCAACCTGTCCTAGTGACAACATACCAGCTTCATTTTCAGCCTTGAATCTCATCGGCAGTCATTTCAAATCCTAACTTGCCTCGACTAGTGCTCAGTTCGTCTATTTACCGACATTTCGATTTCAATGTGCCCGAATCGCATATCGTTTGCAAGTGTTTACACTCTATTCAGGTGTTCATTGCCTTTTGTTGAGAATAGCGCCGTTTGAAGCTCTGCGATGTCGATAAATTTTACCGAGGCGAAGGAGAGCGCTAGGGAATGGTCTCTCCCCCCCCCCCCTTCCCACCATACCCGAATGGTTCAGATCGCAATATCCCATGTAGGCATAACAACGATTGCGTACGTGTCGCGCAAGTTTACGCTGATCAATAGCGTGCTACGGCTTTTGTGTATACGGCAGCTCAGCTGCGTGGTCGAATGGATGACTGGGGGGGGGGGGGGGGGAAAGGACTGATGTCAACACGTTATCATGGAAAAATGAAAGCATAAGCACCGACAGCTCAGTTCTACCCACTAACTTATTTTCACCATAGTTCAGTACATTTTCTAAGATGTGCAGTTGCACACAACACTTGTTGCCCATTCTGTATAAATGTTCTGCGGACTGTGGCTTGGCTGTGCTTTTCATGCTGCCAGAAAAAACTAGAAATTAAGAAATAGCCGACAAAGCTTTGAGTACATAGTTGCTCAATCACCGATCACGCGCAATGTGCAGATTGTGTGCAAGCGCACATATAGGTTAAGTAACGATGCTACTGTAAACGTGAATACTTCTTGGACAGAATTGCTACAGGATGGCTTGAATGAAACACAACTTTATTTTTTCTAGCTTTATTCTTGAGTTCACTTTCTTTTCGCTCGCATTTGCGAAGTCGTTTATGTCAATTTTTTTAGATTCCTTTCTTTTTTTCAAGGCTTATCATGCTATTATGATACTCCTCACCAAAACAGGTTATGTTTTCGATTCAAATTTTTCTTGAGGCTATCAGTAAGAAAGAGCACTTGTCGAATCACTCATGAATGTACCAACTGTTTGTGAACATACGCTCAGAAATGTCGTTCATACCTGCACAGCAAACAGTCGGCGAATTAAAGCTGCAGCACTGCTGGAGTGATGGGGTGTTTACCAAAGGCTATCACTCGTCGTAGGCTCATCTCCTGTAACTTAATGAGAAAAGTTAATGAGCCGGTTCCCAATCTCCGGAACATTGCTGGCTTCCAATTCCGCCTCGAGACGAAGTAGCTCCTTGACTTTTTCTCCGGTTCTGTTCGAATTATGTCTTCAGAATACTATTTTTCTCTCACTGTCATAAAGCCCAGTAATCAAACAGATGTATCTGATTTGTGAGTCATGTTTCTTATCATGTCGTTTTTCGTACTTTTCCTAATTTTCTTCGAAATTCTCTCCATCACAGAAAATGCACTTGGAAGCCGAGATTATTTTTCTACTCTCCCCTTGCCTGCTGCTTTCACGTATTTTCACTGATCATAATACTCTTACATCGTTTCGTCGTAATTGAGAAACTGGTTCTACTCAACTTTCTCCCTCCGTATCCTGCTTTGCTGAGCTTACCCGTACACTTTTTCATGATCTCTTAGCATGAACTATTTTGTGAGTAGTTCTAGCCCTTCTTTCAACCGCTACTAATTCCATTTTTTCCATCAAATGCTAATAATTCAACTCTTGCTTATGTGGCTTTTTTTTTTAATATCGAGTTCAGTATGAAGCGGGGTACCTCAGAGTAATTGAACATACGTCGAACTCTGGTAAGCAATGTCTTTGTGCACTCCGAAAATTTGTTTTTTTATCTGTTGCAGAACGTGTTCCAACATTTTTTGAATATCACTTGAATCGCTATTCATGTCACGAAAAATGACCGCATGAGATGAACAATGCTGCCATAGCGTCAAAAACTATTGAAACCAGTCTTTTCCAAAAATGCCAGGCTTTTCAAATGCAGAGAGATTACGCATCTAGCACAGGTTTTGCTGACATAATGCTCTTAACGGGATATTCCATTAGGCTCAATGTGCTATGTGTTCGTTTATGCATCCAAATACATACGTGATTGACTCTGGCTTTATGTGCATTCGTCGCATTCTCACCAGCATCTGAAGTGGTTCTCCCCGTGTGAACGTGGGAATATACAGAAATTCCGTTGCTCTACCACACAAGAATTGGGAATCACGACGACAGTTGGAGTGAAGGTTTGCCAAAAATCGAAATCGTACGCTAGTAACTAGGTAGGGAGAAAGTAGCAGAGATATCATCATTCGCCTTGCTCATCGAGCTAAATCGTCCGTTCGCTGATTATCAAATTAAACCCGCTGTGGAACTAAATTGGACGTCTTTATCGAAGCAATGATGATAATGATAGAGAGAACATTCCATTCGTAAAGGAAAACGAAAACCACGATAAAAAAAGATGGAGTGGAAAAGGCCAAAAGTTCTATCGATTCTCCTCAAGCACTTTCACCTAGCTTCCAAAATTTTATTGTCTTCGTAACCTTGAAGAGTCGGATAATTCGATTTACATTGTCGTTTGCACTTTTCAGAAAATTATGAATTGTCCCAAGTACCCATTTTGCATTCCAGTCAGGCCATTTTTTTTGTGTGTTTCCATTCCTGTGCTGCGCGTATGAGTCAGTTCTGTCAAAAAAGAAATTGATCATCAAAAGAAAATAGAAAAGAAGTAAACTATGGAGAAGTTCAGTTAATTGAATTTTGTCTGCAAACTGGATTTTTTTTCAATTCTGCATCTTTTTGCACACTCTTCTGTCCTTGATAGGAGAAAAGTTGCGTGTGCATTCTCTCGTCTCATAGAAAATTGAATGTAAATTACTTCTCAACAATAATCAGTGATAAGTTTACGTTGTGAGTTTCTTCCTGTTAATCTCAGCTGCCAGTAAGCTCGACGGTTGCTCCTATCTCTTTCACATTTATGTGAAACCCGACTCATCTCTCCTAAAAAATTATTTATTTCACTTTCCAATTCTGCATGTTTTTTTTCTGGGAACAACTTAGCTAATCCTCATTTTCCAAAGCCCGACCAATTCGAAAGCCAGCAGAAACCAAGTTTCTCAGTAATCTGCAGATAGCATAACGCAGGTTTTTTTTTTGCAAAGCGACAACTAGTAAATTTTGAGAATTTGTCACGGACCTAAGAATCTTTTTCAACTTTTTGTTTTCACAAGATCGATGGGAGGGTGTGAACATTCTTCATATAGTCTGTTGTAATGTCTTCAAGGCCCAGACCTAATTCCTTCACCTTCTCAACCAACATGAATAAATAGAAAACATTATATATCTCTTTCTACGTATAGTGCTATATTTAATTAACTTGATGCTCCACAAAAATATCACATATTTTCTCCTCTGTACGTTTTAAGATGGAGAAGATCTCATTATAGTAATCGTAATTTTTATGTTGCTTCGAAAAATCGCTTTGCTAGCAGCAACTGACACGTATCCTTTCCCTGTCAGCTCGCTTTTCGTACAAGTGAGAGATCTGCTCACAGGTCTCGTTATCGCTCCACTGAATCAGGGATGCTCGAGCTTGCATGGCCGAGGGCCCATCAATCACTCTTGTAGATTCTTTTTCGCTACCCGCTGTTCCATGCAGTCACACAGGACCTACTACGAAGAATATATCAGAGAAATTGAATTTTCTTTGTCATCTGTTAACGAAAATTTCCTTCATGGTAAGAAAGGCTAATCAAACTTTCATTCACCCTTTTTGGCCAAACTGAAATGAATCTGGTCTGCTTTCGACAAAGTACCGAGGAACGGTAAATCGACTACAGAGTTTTTTTCTCTGTCTGTCAGTGAATACAGAGAATAACACAAACGAAGTGTTATGAAGCCCTCATAATTGCTAAACGCGAGCTTCATCGGTTAGTCCATGGCAATAACAGCATTGGAAAAATTCAGCTGCTTCTAGAGATCTGCGCAAAATAGCGCCAAAATAATTTTTAGGACTTTTTTCCCTTTTATCACCAAACGCTTCATTCCTATATTTCTGAACCTCAAAATGTTCAAAATCCTGCTACGCAATACCGCCCAAAATAATTTCGATGTCTAAGAACCTAGTTTCCAAGTTGTAAGCTCTGCTACAAGGGCAACAATGTGCCTACTAAGATCATCCATTTTCGAATTCCTGCCTTCAAATTGCACCCAAGAGTGCAAAAACCTTGTCAATATGCTCAAACTTCTATCTAAAAGTATGGAGTACTCATTTAAAGGAGAAAAAACGATAAAAAATTTATAGCGCTTTCAAAATTTATCGAGAGCACTTGAGTGCTCTATAACAGCACCGCTGCACAGCTGAATCGATTGCGACGAAAATTTTGTTAATAGAAAAGAGATCGAGTGAATATTGAATCATTTGTTCTTGATGCTATTCGCTGTCATAGAAAATGATATAAATTAAAAATTGTTACTAGCATGCCTACAATTCCGCAAATCTTGTCCAAGTTTCATTCTAGATAAGTGCTTTTCTAGTAGCGACATGAATTGTTTCTGACTATGTGCATTTCCTCGACATTACGATTCCCTTGTACTCCAAGCGACTTTCAGTACGAATAGAATTCCAAGAGTAACGGAGACGCATGCACTCTGTCCAAATCGTTTTTTGGTCTTTCTTCTGTGAAACAGTTTAGATAACGTCAGCAGCAAATCATCCATTATGATATGTTATCCTGACTGTTCAGCTGACGTGCACTCAAACTAACACCTTTAAATACCAACTCCTATCAAGGTCTGTTGTAGATATGGCTTACGGTTCCCGCTGCTGGAAGTTATTTGAAAATCGAGAATCAGGGATTCACAATAGAGAAATCAGGGCTTTGCATTGCAGGGTAAATCTGAGATTTTCTGGTATTTTTCGTCCCTACATTATGACATGACCCAACTTTGCTTCGCCACTTCGTTGAGAAAAATTTCTTGTGACTACCTTTCCTATTTTCTTTTTTTCTGGCGAAGTTTTGACGGAATATAACGCGTCACTCTTGCTGAAGCGGACTTTGGTGATAGAGGACGTCACCCGGATTCCATCGCTCCTATCCCGATGAACCCCTCCTCTGCCGAATTTTAAAGCCATTTCGCTGGTTTTAAAGTCTCCCACTTCACGGATATGCCATAAAAATGCTGCGGACACATGCATAGGTACACCCAGACTGAGTACAGTGATCCTAGCTGAAGCGTTTGCTGTCTGCTTGGAACTCTCCTAGCCATTGTTATTTGCATGTTTACCAATGTTTACATGTTCAATAGAGCTGATCTGATCTATCCGCTTTTCTGTTTGCATTGTCGGATCAGTATCCCATGTCTTGAGTGTATGCTTTTCAATTTTCTTCAAAGACAATAGAGCACTCCAGTGGCTGTCTTATTCAGGTAACATTCTCTCCGCATCGTTTTGATCTGCTACTTTTGTTCACTTTCTTCTACTTCATCGTGTTCTCCTGCATCTTCTCGTGACTCAAAAAACGTCCAGGTTTACTCTAAACAAATGTCCAGGTTTACTCTGCAGGAATTCTTTCAGATTTTATTCGCTCCTGTTCCGGTGAAGTAGGCATCAGCAGTCTTGGTGCACTTTCCTCTTTTTCTTCACCTATGTGGCCATTCACTGCGACGAGACCGTGGTGAGTCTTAGCTAAGATACATTTGATTATGCCTAACATTCTTAGTTTTTTACTCCAAGGAACCGGAATAAGCATGTTAATCAGCATGTCTTTTATATGAGCTTATACTTAGCTTATAAAGAAATCAACATTTGGCCATCAAAAGCAAGTATGAGAAAGCTGTTTATGATATTTGAAAATTTTGTATATGTTTTATAACTATACATAGTGCCCATCTCTCTTCCAAGCATATATTTAGATCCGTCACACAATGGGCGTTAGAGAGCTGACACCTGCGCAGCTAGTAAGTGCTTTTTCAATTTTGCATTCAAAGTGTCAATATACTTTCGAAGACGTAAAAAATGAAACATGTAGATTGCTCTTATACGATTATTTCGTGGTGATAGTATGGGTATTGCTTACATGATGGTATCGAGTATTTATCAATCAAATTACGTCTACTAGGTTTCCGTTGAAAAGGGGATAGCTAACATACTCGACCGATTTGACTCTAGAAGGAATTATTTGCTACTTGCTACGAGGATTTATTTCAATGTTTTGCAAAGAGATTTCAGCATCGTAGCAACAAACGAGAACATTGATCAAAAGAAATGCCAGCTGCAGGAGTAGCACACCAGAATGATAAGAAATTGCAAACATTCCAGGAATTTTTCGAAGCTTGTCGTCGAGGTGATGTTGAAAAAATCAGAAACTGCATCACAAGCAAGAAGAGCAAAAAGCCACGTACCCCTCTAAAGTACGTCGCTGCAGTTTTTTCTTCAAACTTTTGTAGAAGTGTTGAATCCAACAATAATTATGTTATTGTTTGATTCTAATACTTATAGTTTTTTGCGAACAGCACTTCCGTCACTTGGCTGGCTAGCTTCGTCCAAGGATCCTTCAACGCTCTATACGCCGTTGCACACGGCGGCTCTTCATGGACATTACCAAGTTTGCAAGTAGGACATGAAAAATCTATAACTACCAATGTTTCCAACCATTTGTGCATTCACACAAACTCCAGAATTCTTCTTGAATCCGACAAGCTCTTATGTTCGGCCAGGGATAAGCGGGGATGTATTCCATTACACTTGGCGTCATGGAATGGTCACTACGAAGCTGTCAAGGTAGTATGGCTCTCTCTTGATGTGCTCATATTGAATACACTTTTAGCTACTATGTGAATCTGATCCCAGTAGTGTCGATGCTGTGAACAATGCTCAGGAGTCATCTCTGCATTTAGCCGCTCAGCACGGCCATGATCTACTTGTTCGTGTCCTTCTTGAGGTCACAATTTCAATCAATAAATAGACCTGTCATTCAGTGTTATAGCCATATATGCAGGGTCTATCACATGCTTAAATCAGAGATTTTCAGCATCATGCAGACCCACGAATAAGAAATGCACGCTTCGAAACTCCTTTAGACGTAGCCGCTCGGACCGGACATGCCGTTGTGTGCAAAATTCTAGTCGCTTTTTGCCCAGAGCTTACTTTACAGGTAAATTGCTTCTAGAGAGGAACAAACCGTTTACTCAAAAAAATTCTACCAAGTGCCAAAGCAGTTGTGCAAATAGCATAGTGTAGAACGGTTTATATAGTGCCCCTGCGGTGGCGACAACTATTGCGCGAAGAAATTGCTAGTTTAAAACGCCGTCATCTTGGGGTGAAAGTTCGTAACTGCACATTTCTGAGTTTTGTGCCAAGGCCATTTTTCACGTGCAAGTATTATCGACACCGTGCGCTATATCATATTGTCTTCAGACTATGAGCAAACTGAGTGAAAAAAAAACACATTTGGTTTGAGACTGGGAAGTTGCATTCGGATCTGCACTCACCCCAGAGGAACTGAATCTGGAAAAATTACATCTGATTTAGTCAGCAGTTGATTGCTCATCAACTGGTGAAAGTGGCCAGATCCGTGCGCCAGTGGTCTACCCTTTGCATGCAGCTGCCAGGCACTCGCACATCCAGTGTTTGCAGGTATAAAATCAAATGTCTCCGCACAGATTTTTCCTTCAACACCTCGATTGGCTTTTTGTTTGGAGTGAGTATTTCAGATACTTCGACTGGGTGGTTTTGACATTGACTTTGTCACTGATGAAGGCTCAGCTCTGCATGTTGCCGCAATGTTTGGACAAGTGGAAGCGGTGAAGTATCTGACCAATGAAGGTGAGTACAGGTTCTTTATCTGCTCGTATACATCTGACAAGGAAAGGAAGGTTAGTCGTAGTGGCCTTTTATAATGAGATGTGTATCATCTTGTAGAGCTTGGAACGCTGATTTCAAATCTACCATCGCTATCTGCTGCGAGCTTCTGGGAGAGGAGTTATGAAGGTTTTTGTGAGTAAAAATCTGAATGCAAGAGTAGGCTAAAATCAGTCGTAACATTTTTTATAGGTCTTAATTGGTAATCGGGTCACTCGGTGCAACAAATACTCTTAATTCAGTAGTTTCCAAGTCTCCTCTCTTCTTAACCTCGGCATTGTTAGTTAGTATGTTGTGAGTAGTTAGTAAGCCAATCGAGGTTAGTATTTATTAGTAAGTGGCGGCCTAACGTTTCGAGCTATTCGTCTTCTTCAGAGGCCTCCTCCACCGCCGGCGCGCAGTGGTATCAGTGGTATTATCAACGCCGCTACCAATGGCATCAGTGGCACTGAAGGACGGCCGCTTTCAACATCTGCGCGTCGGCGGTGGAGGAGGCCTCTGAAGAAGACGAATAGCTCGAAACGTTAGGCCGCCACTTAGTAATAAATACTAACCTCGATTGGCTTACTAACTACTCACAACTCTTAATTCAAATATACCAATTCGCTGCTGCCTCATTTGAACATTGGAAAAAGGTTACGACTGATTTTACCCATTTTTGCATTCAGATTTTTACTCACAAAAACCTTCATATCTCCTTGCCCAAAAGCCCGCAGCAGATAGCAAAGGTAGATTTGGAATCCGCGTTCCAAGCTCTACAAGGCAGTATACACCTTATTTCAAAAGGCCACTTCGACCAACCTTCCTTCCCTTGTGAGTTCTAATAGCAAGAGTAGAGGCGAGGTACTGTATGAAAGCAGGCGCATTTGATCCAATTTCACTTTTGATAAGTAGAGCTTGATAGGTTTACGCAGAACTCTGAGGTGTCTTACTCTGCTACAACCTTCGTCTGCCCCAGTGTTGTCGTTTCTACAATTTCAACAACTTCCAGGCATTCGTAACGGAATGCGGGTTTTGAAAAAACTCATTCTAGTTCTTCTTGGTTGTGTGAAAACTCCCTCTTTTTATTTTGTTTGTTGATGGAATCTGATTGAAAAGAAGTTAAGCTAACAAGAGCGCAAGCTAATCAGGCCTATAACTGTAATCATTGTTTGTAACAGCTCCCATTTTTTTCAACAACTGTTCTATGCACAGTTTTCCGAAAGTCTGAAGACGAATTTTTCCGGACGACTATCTTGTCTTGCCCACTCATGTTGTGTTGCATCGAAAATCAGAACTCACAATAAAACCATGTCGGGAGAATGTTTGTTGTTGGCCTGCGAAGTCTGAAAGTTGTCGAAAATCTTTCTCGCAGTTACCTCATTTTATTAAATGATCATTTTTACTAATGCGCAAAAATTCAAGCAGGCATATTCAAAAAGCAGAAGAAAAATATTTAAATACATGTGGAAAATTAGTCTGCCAAAATAAGGCTGCGAAAACAAAACTGGGGAAAAAGCCAGTAAATTGGCAATTTGATAGATGATCGACAAAGAGCATTTTTCTTGTCTAAATTACGCAAGCAAAACCATACACCCAGGTCCAACTCTTGCAAATTTTGCTGGTTCATGAATATTAGAAGCCCAGATCACGAATTCTCATCATCACTTCAATTCTTGATGCGTTTGAGCTGTTTTCCATGTAACATTTCTGTTAAGAAGTGTACATCTCCCTAGGAATCAATCCACACGTACGAGACAGCAAAGGTCGAACTGCATTAGAACTTTTGCGAGAACACGAACAACACCGCACATCGGATCTGACACATATCATCCAAAGTCGCGAAGGTTGGAGTGAATGTCGACAAATAATCGAAGGTGCGGAGCATTCTATTTCATAATTGCATCCACAGTGCCTTGTTGTAGGGTATATAAAACGGCTGGAATCTGATCATTTCAATTCGTCCAGCGATTCGGGTATAGACAGAAGGGATTCAGAGCGAAGTGTTGTCGATGACGACGCTGGCTGCGACGTTTGGCGGCCCTTACCATCTGGCGCTTTAGGTAGGCTTATGCTATTCATTATGGAAAAATGGGGATGCACACTTCACTTGATTTTTTCTCCTCTATCAACATTGTCTACAACATATCACCACACCTACAAACAGCATCACTTCCAATGAAAGTGTTAGAGCAAGCTTATTTCTTTTTTCAGCCGATTATATGGTAAAACCATCAAGCAGGGCCTTCAACTCAATGCCATCTAGCAACAGATCTAACCCTGCGGTAGGTTTGTTGAACTTCAGAAGAACTCTTGAAAAGGATGGAAAAGGATAGCTTGCATAATTTTTTATCAAGTCAAAAACTTCGCTTACATGATAGCAGGCGAGTCCTTTTATGGAAAACCATCTACAGTAGATGCCAGCATTGGGTTCACAACGAAGGGAGGGGGTGTGGGGGGAAGGGATAAGCCGCCAACTTTTTCATGGTGGTCTCTCAGTTATATGATTGAAATTGAATCAAAGTTCTCATTGTTGAGAATCAAAAAATCTTCCTTGATTTCAAGTTGGGTAGCTTCGCAAAGTTTCTTAGAATTCTTTTCTGATGCTTCTTCAAAATTCAGGTTGAGACCTGCGATGAAGCTTCTTAAATGGAAGGCTAAGGTTGCTTGCTTTCATATAGAAAAGAAATTCCGTAGCTTGCCTTCCCCCCTAGATAACTTCTGCCACCACCACCGGTGCAGTAATTCTCAGAAAGAAGAAGGAATGGAATACAACCCCGCATTATTCTTTTGGATTTCTAATGTCATTTTTGTTTTATTGTCATTATTTCAGGAAATAATGGTCTCTGTCGATGCTGTGTGCGGTGCTCCCAGCATGAGTTCACAGCCAGAATGTGGGGCTCCATTGTAAGTGGTTTTGTCGTCTCCTATCCATTCCATCTTGCATGCCTCAATCGTTTCCAGAAGTGACACGACCCCAACATTCACTTGGTCCCACGCACATGTTGCACCTCATCGGACATGGAACAGTCGTATGTACGGTGAGTGAAACACTTCTCTTGTACAGCATCAGAGTGTGCTACTTTCAGACGCGGAGCGGGGAGTAGCGCGATT